GATATAATTTTAAAAAAAAAATGAATATAAAATGGCATTATATGTACGATTTATAAATAAAAATTTTTTTTTGATATTTGACTTGGTGTGGTTTTTATTAGTTTCCTTAATCAGGGAGTTCTTTTTGCCGCTGTACCTCGAAAAGACCAGTGTGATTTATGCATAGGTTATAAAATGGGCACTATACCAGAAACTGAATATAATGAACACATAGAAAGAAAAAATAGCGCAAGAGATGAAAAAAATAAACATAAATCAACAGTTTCTAACAATAAAGTAGTTATAACTATGGATTTGGAGAGTGTTCTGTTGTGTCCAAAAACTGAAGCCTCATCTATGTTTTATAAGCAAAAATTACAATTGCACAATTTTACAGTTTATAGACTAAATGACCATGATGTAACATTGTATGTATGGAATGAAACAGATGGTAATGTGACAGCCAATGAGTTCACAACCTGTATAATTAACTATATTGACAACCTTCCTCGTGAAGTATCAGAAGTTGTTTTAATATCCGATGGTTGTAATTACCAAAACAGGAATAAGACTTTGGCAAGTACATTAAGCTCTTTGGCTTTAGCTAAATGCATTACAATTGAACAATTGTTCTTAATAAAAGGGCACACTATGATGGAAGCTGATAATGTCCACTCAACCCTTGAACATTATTTTAAAGCACTCTTATACTCTCCAGGAGACTATATAAGTAGAATGCGAATAGCAAGAAAAAAGCAACATTACAATATTAAAGTAATTGATTATGCATTTTTTAAGAATTTTGATGCTATATGTTCTCTTAAATCACTGAGACCAGGAAAGAAAGCTGGTGATAAAGTAGTAATAAATATATGTAAACTTTTGTATACAAAAGAAGGGAAAATATTTTATAAAACTTCTTTCAACACCGACTGGGCTATTCTACAAGAACAAAATAATGTTAGTAAGAAAACTAGAGCATCCACAAAAAATGCACACATTCCTGAACAAAAACTAAGTCAATTATACTATGAACCATTACCAATATCTAACAGTAAATATTATGACTTGCAGTCTTTAAAACAAGTTGTTAAAAAAGACCATCATCCGTTTTACCTTGAAACATTCAGATATTACAAAAAAAAAAAAAAAAAAATGTAACCAAGTTCCTGAAAGTACCTAAAATTTTGATAGGTCAAGTTTTTTAATCTTTAATTGTGTATTGTTATATTTTATTAAATATGTTTAATAAAAATAAAATTTATATTTTATACTGTATAATGTTATGATAATATGTAATAATATTATATTTTGTTTTTCATTTGAAATTTGTTATTGTCTAATTAAAAAGTTAATTTTATTATCATTATTATAATTTAATTAATGTGTTTCAAAAATAACATTTATATTGTTTTTTTAATTTGTAATTTGAATAGACTGAAGTTATTATCTAATTTAAAAATTAATTTTTTTATTATTATTATATTTTATTTAAATTTTTTCATAAAATATCCTATGTAACATTTTATAAAAATTTGAAAACTTAAAATCTCCTATATAACCTTCCAGGTAAAAAAATATCCTATGTGACATTTTTTTTATTTTAATCCTTAAATATCTTTATTAGTAAAGTATGTATTATGACAGAATTTAAAATAATAAAATAGTATTTATTTATTGAACACTGTAGGTATTTTTAAATTAAATTGAATAATAGCTAATTTATAAATAAGTTTTTTGTCCCTACTGAAAAAAAGCGTTTTTTCACATAGGAGAATTATTCCCGTAGACGACGATATCGCGATTTGACTGTAGTAGCCCATATTAATATTCAATAGTAATAATTACATTCCACATTTGTTGACAAGATAATGCATTACCTCATCCATAAGATACACCTTCTACCAGAAAAAAAAATTCAGCACATTTCTAGAAAATTTTTAATTAACCTCCATAGGTTTGATTAAAAACTTAAAACGACTCTTTGAAATTTTCTCGAAGTTCGATTGACCAATCTCGGCCTACTTTTTATTAATACATAACATATACAATTTTTTTTATTAAGTTAACTGTTTAATTATTTAAGTGAATTGACCTAACATTAAAGATAAAGGTAAGAACATTATCTATGTTTTTTAGTTAGATTTTTATGATATTTAAATTTTTAAATGAGTTGAGTATATAAAATAATAATACATAAAATTGCTTATAATTTGCCTAAAAATTTAAATATTATAATAAACTAATGACAGAAATATATAATGCTCTCACCTTTAAGTCTTTAAGTTTGATAATGGATCAACTTACTCTAATATTTTAACTAATAACAAAAAATCGGAACTGTTGGCAGTACATTTAAATATGCTTAGTAATACAATGACAATACATGCAAGCAAAATGTTCTTTTAAACAACAAACATAGCTAATAAATAAACAGATAAACCTTAATAAACTCATAAACTAGTCTTGGCTAATTTAATAACATTATGCAATATGAGCTGAGATAGAGAACATAATTTAAGTATAATAAGTAAAATAAATAAGGCATTTTCTGATACAGTAGAGTCCCGCTAATCCGGACATCCGGATAATCCGGACAATGTATGTTTCGTATTTAGTACTCATGTATAATATATATATAATCGGGAATACCCATAATTAAGATATTATCGTTTCGATTATATATTGTGATTTATGATATTTTTTGCTAATATTCAGGAATACTCATAATAAAGGTATGTATTATCGTTTCGATTAAGTACATATGTATTGTGATATTATTTCGTTTAGTGGTGATTGTGTACCAGTGTAGACCGTTGCGTTTATTTTTTCCTCTGCTTATTATAAAAACAACATAAAATGACAACTTTAGTTAAACGTAAGAAAGTGACTGTAACAATGGAACAAAAACTTCAAGCTTTATTTCGTATAGATGCTGGTGAATCATTAACAAAAATCGCGCAAGAGTTAGGAGTGGGTAAGCAAACCGTTTCGGATTGGAAAAAAAAAACGAATAGAAATTGAAAATTTTTGTGCGAAAATGGTGAGCGCGGACAGTTTAGGTAACAGACGTACATTAAGAAAACCAAACAATGAATCTTTAGACGAGGCTTTGTACATTTGGTTTTGTCAACAACGTGAACAAGGAGTTCCGTTGTCGGGCGTTACGTTACAAGCTATCGCGATAAAATTTAATGAAAAATTAAAAGGAGATCCTACTTTTGCTGCTAGTGTAGGATGGTTGTCTCGGTGGAAAAATCGACATGGCATTCGTGAACTTGGTGTAAGTGGTGAGATTTTATCAGGTGACAATGTTGCAAGTGAAGACTTTAAAACGAAATTTGAAAAGTTTATTAACGATGAAGACTTAATGCCTTGCCAAATATTTGATGCTGACGAAACTGGGTTGAATTACAAAATGCTTCCAAAAAAAACATTAGCCTCAAAACTAGATTCTGTAGCCAAAGGACATAAAGTGAAAAAAGAACGAGTAACTTTACTTCCTTGCAGTAACGCTTCTGGTGATTTAAAATTTCAACTTTTGGTGATCGGAAAATCAGCTAAGCCTAGAGCTTTCAAAAACGTTAATATGAGTGCACTTCCAGCTCAATACACTTCACAAAAATCTGCTTGGATGAACGGAAACATTTTTAAAATTTGGTTTTTGAAACATTTGTGCCTACAACAAGAACATTTTTGAAACAGAAAAAACTTCCAGAAAAAGCTGTATTGTTTATAGATAATGCTCCATGTCACCCTAGTAAAAATGAATAACGAGATGGTGAAATATATGTGAAATTTTTGCCACCTAACGTGACGGCATTGATACAACCAATGGATCAAGGTGTTATTGAAACGACAAAACGGCTTTACAGAAAAAAGTTGATCATGTTTCTTTTAGAGCAACAAGAAGCGAACCCGTTAGTTAACTTTATGGATCTTTTAAAAAAAGTAACAATAAAAACTGTTCTTTATTTAGCCGCAGAAGCGTGGGAAGAAGTTAAGCCAGAAACACTTCAAAAAAGTTGGAAAAAATTGTGACCTAATATTCCTCAAGAAAACTATAGACGAGATGAAACAACTTCAAATGAAGACACTGATTTCATTAAAGTTTTTCAAGAGTTGGAAGGTTGTGCCGAGGTGGAATCAAATGATATTTCTGAATGGATAAACGGTGACACTGATGTTGGTCATCAGGTTCTTAGTGATGATGAAATCGTAAATGCATGTATTGAAAACATAGAAATAGAAGTTGACAGTTCAGAAGATGAAGATGATGGTACAGATCAATCAACAGGCCCAACACATGGTGAAGCAGCTGCAATGATGGAGCAGTTGATGACTTACTTCGAGAAACAAAGTGAAACATCTTCTGCTGAGCTACTGACCTTAAGGCGTCTAAGACATCGCACAGCGAAATTACGTCAATCTTCATTAAAACAAAAAAATATCACGGAGTTTTTCAAGTCTTAATACAAATAAAAATAATAATGGTATCTAATGTAAAATTCTAAATCAATAAATTTTGAATTCGTATAAACATGAGGTGTTTTTTGACAGCATATTTATTGTGTTATTATTTATAGTGTTTATTAATGAGTAAGTTAAAAAAAAACGTCATTTCGTTTAATCCGGATTTTCGATAATCCGGAGAGAGTCCGGTCCCATCTAGTCCGGATTAACGGGACTCTACTGTAGTTATAATTAAAAATACAACTACTGCCCTCTATTATTGATCCAATTTGAATTCACAGAGCCAGTCTATAAGTATAAGTTTTAAAGATTATACCCATGCTAGAATTTACATGGTAAAAAATTTTGATGCATTTTAGCTTACATCAATTTGTGTTTACACATTTCCAGATACTAACACTGTTAAGTTTTTCTTTATCTCATATCTATTTAAAAAAGTGAATGAACATTTTCACTATATTTGTAAATTACTTACCAATTTATTTACTATCTATGATGGTTAACTAAAGTAATACTACAAATAATGTAAATCATACTTTTTTCTCTTAAATCATTCAAATGTAGATATTTGTTTAACAGCTATCATTAATTGTGAACAATCATTATCACAGATGCTATTTTTTAACAATAGACTATAGATTGTTTTCAGTACATCCTTTTTGTCCACCAAAAATCTATAAGAACAATTTAATTTTAGTTTACTATCACATAATTTGATTTTAAATATTGTAAGTAAAGTAAATGTGCCATTTCTAGCGCACTTATGTTTATTTTCTGATTAAAAATACTGTTTTTTTTTTCACATAAATTAAGATCATAAAATAAAATAATCACAAAAAAATAAAATAGCAAAATAACCATAAAATTATTTCCAAAACACTTTAGAATTGTATTATAGTTAAATCAATTAAAGAATTAAAGAAATAATTCAAAAACCTTTGGAAAATATTTTATATTACCAGACTATGGGATGATTTTTCTTATAAATTTAAATTTAAAATGCTAGTTGAAATATAAAATGTCTAACATAAATAGTACCGGAATTATACTTAAATCAAAAATGATATTTATAAAAGTTAAGAACAGTTGTATTTATTTTACACATCCTATTTTTGATGACAATAATAAATTTATATAGTCTTGATTTAATGATTTTAAAAGGATTAGATTAATATTGAAACTAAATGTAAAATAAAGATTGAAGAAAATGAAATAAAAAAAAAAAAAAAAAAAAAAAAAACTATTAAATAATTAAACAAACAAATCAAACCTTTTGTTGTATCAATTGATAATATAAACAATATTAAAATTGAATCCTTGTTATCAGTGTAGTAAAGTATTTGAGTAAAAATATTCAAATACTTTTTAGTTTAAAGTGTATCTACATTCTTGTCTTGATTATTAATTTCAGGTACTTTAGATCAACTATTGCAACAATTTATTGTGAGTGCTAATGTACCATTCAGAATTATTGAAAACCCAGTTTTGAAATAAATAATTACTAGAGATTTACCAAACCAAAAAATTATGTCTCAACCTACACTAATAAAAAAATTGAGAACGATTTTCAAAAATTATCCTTAAAAATGAAATTTGAGATGTCCAAATATGCCCATATTGCTACAATTGCAGATGGTTGGTCGATTTTTAAAAAGTAAAATTTTTTTTATTTAGTATAATTAACATGTTATATACCTAGATACTATTATATCAATTAGTTTAATATTATATTTTGTTAGATCATACATTGGGATAAAGGTCACATGGATCAATGATGATTTATCAAGAAGTACTTGTCTTTTAGCTTTGAGACGACTAGAATGTTCACAAACGTTTGATATTTTAGCCAAAGTTATGGATGCAGTATACATACAGTTTGAGATTTCAAATAAATTATCTTATTGTACTACAGACAATAGTTCTAATTTTGTAAAATGTTTTAAGTAAGTAATCAATTATGTATTTGTACATTTGTTTCTAATAACATCCATTTAGTTAACCCTGTTGATTGTTATAACATTTACATTTTTTTGCTTATTATTTAGGACATTTAGTCATATATTTGATGAAAATCAAGATGAAAATGCTAAAAGTTCTTGTGATACTTAATGGTATGTATTAATTAATAATTATTAAATACATTAATATTATTTAGCCAAGTACTATAATAAATATAATGTTACTCATTTAATTTTTTTTCATCTTAACTGCTTTTGGTCTACTTTATTAGTAGATACTATCTAATAAATAGTAAATATTCTTACTAATGCAAAATGAAAAATTACTAATTATATTATTAAAAACTGATCTATTGACTATTTTTATATTAATATTTCTGTGTAATACCTACATTAATATACTTTTGAACTAAAAAAACAAACTTCATTGATAATAATTTTTATATTTATTTTTTTAGGTATAAAAACAAGGTTTGCTAATTATTTGATAGACTAATTTTTAATTACTGCTGCTGTCTGCCACCCACCATTTAAAACAACATGGATTAAAAGTGATATAAAAAATAATTAGCTTCAGAATATTTAAAAAATACCTATTATGAGTTTCATAACAATAATAATGAAAACAATGATGTAGAAGATAGTCAAATTAATGATGATTTATCTAGCGGTTTTATGAGAACATCTGTAACAAAGATATTAGAATGTTTGCATAATATACTGACTATCAAAAGTGTAAGATGAATTGGGAACTTCTAACAATATTAACTATTAGTAATAATATTATAAAAACATTTGTATTTTGTTATCAGGTATTTGTGAAGTACAACACTCTATTACCTAGTAGTGCGACTGTAGAGAGAGTATTCAGTGTTGGTGGTACAACTATTACAAAAAAAAAAAAAAAAAAAACGAACATGATAGATCAGTACTTTGAGCAAATAATGCTTTTAAAATGTAACACTTAAATTTTTGATTAATAAACCTAAATACCAAGAATTTATTGAATGGTTTTTTTTTTTTGTATTTGAAGATTATTTCAAATACTTTACCATAAATAATATTTGGGCAGTATTTTAAATACTTTATTTTTTATAAGTATTTGAGCAGTTACTCAAATTTGTTTTAAAAGTATTTTTTACAATACTGCTCGTTATTATAATTTGAATAAAAATTTAAAACTATATTCAGTTTTTCAAAATACAACATTTGATTTTTTATAATTTAGTAAAAAACCAATGATTTATTACCCCACTTTTAAGGACTATTATAGGAATATGGAGAAAGAATGTAAATTTAAATAAGGTAGAAATAGTGAAATACCAACAGATAAAGTTCTTGTAGGGATGTATATAATAAGTGAAATTAAATTTATTTAATTCTCATGATTTTCCTAAAATATATCTTGTGTTTATGACTATAAAGGTAATATTGTTAATTTTGATGAATATTTTATTGTTTATATCGAACTAATCGAAAAAATAAATGAATAATAAGTATTTAATTATTCCTATTGAAAACAAAAATAATAATAAACCCATAATTTAAATCAATAAAAGAATTGAACTTTTTTCAACTTTAAATATAATTCTGCACTAGAAATTAAGTAAATACAACAAATTATATTAATAGGTAAATCTTCATCAAATTCAATATGTAAAAAAATAATTTTTACTAGATACAGAAATATTAGCTGGTTCTTTACTCATATTAATAAGATATATTGAATTAAAACTTTAAAATTGTGTTAGATTATTATACATCAATAGAAGTTTTTTTATATATTTTTTATACTCAATAAAACTCTCATAAGGTAGTTTTTAAAATTGAAATTTTGATTATCTTTGGGACAGAATTTTTCATATAATTTTATCCAAAAATTGTTCAAATTACAATGACCAAATTAACTAGGATTGTGGTTTTGAGTGTCTAATTTACCTGTTTGAAATACTACGAGTAGTAGTATTAACTATTCAATATTGATTTGATAAATTTAGTGTTATTATTTTTCCTTTAATATTTCATTCTTCAATACATTGTCATAATTTAAATGGAAAAACATACTTTTTAGTTTGAGATATAGATGTTAACTCATTTATCAACAGAACTTTATAGAAGTCTCATTATATTCTATAGTTAGAATTTTAATCAACAATTTATTATTAATAATTTTTCCATTCTTACTGTAGCATTATTTTTAGTTTTTAAAAAATTGTCATCATCTGTTTTTCTCATAAAGAATATATATAAAATCTACCTTTGTAAACAGGACATAATTTTTCTTTGAAAAAAAAAAACTTAAACCAAAATTTGATGAATAACTTACAGCAATAAAATTTCTTCCACTTTGAAATAGGTTATAAGTCCTGAATTTATAGTTGGATCGTTTTTATCTTCAGAAAAATCTATTGAACATTAATTTATACTAGCTCTTACTACATTTTCAGTGTCATTTATAACTTAATCACATTTTTAACTACAATTCTATAAAATATATATGGCATAAAAATACAAAATTATCAATACATTTTTTAATATTTAAAAAACTATCCATGTCATCTGTTCTAAAAGTTGTTGTTTGACAAGGCGTATTAAGATGTATATTATTATTTTCAAGTAAAAAACTTTTATAATGAAATTTTTTAATATAGTTAGTGTCTTTAAAAAAATAAAAATATTATCTATTATTTAAAATTTAAAGTTATGGATGCAGTATACATACAGTTTGAGATTTCAGATAAATTATCTTAAGGTGTTAAAAATAGTTGACGACAATTTATGTTTCAATGATTTAAAAATTATATATGAACTAAAAAACCAATATTTACTAAAAAAAAATGTACTTAGATTTTTCCAGTAGAATAAAATAAAAAAGCTTTAAGTATTCATGATGATAAAAATTTATTTTGGAAAATTGTATTGATACAATAACTTGGGGACATTATAAAAAAAATATAGACAGAAATTATTTTGTAAATCATCTCGAAGAATTAATTAAAAATGAAAATAAAAAAGATCAAGATTTTTAGTATAGGTAACATATAAAATTAAGTCCTTTCCATAAGCTGGCATGGTAAAATGATTTCCAAAGATTTTTGGATTATTTTTATCAATTTAATTAAAATAAAATTCTAAAGTGTTTTAGGAAATATTTTTATGATAATTTGTTTTTCTGTGATTATTTTGTTTCATGATTTTATTTACACTGTTTTCTTAATTTTATTTTTGTGGTTTTTTGTGAAAAATTGTATTTGTGATTTTAATTTATTTACAATTAATTAGAAACAATATTTTTAAACAACAAATAAACTTAAGTACTCTAGAATTAGTACATTTACTCTATTACTGAATCTTTCTTGATATTAAAAAAAAATATCAATTGTATACAATTATCATAATAATTTCATAATTAATAACAAGATCACTTACCTTAGTTCCTGTATTGGTGATGTATACAAGGCCAACTGGATCATACATTTTAAAAGTTTAAGCACATTTTCTTCTAAAATTAAAAAAAAATGTAGTTTCCGCATTTCAAGGTGTAAACTATTTTCAATAGCCAACTCTTCAGGTTGGCCTATGTTATTGAAATATTTTGTTGTATCCTTATTTTCAGAAAACATTTGAAACACAATAGCACATTTTCCCAATGTTTTTATAATGGACTTGACATGTTTGAGATTCCTAAGATCTAAGAGAAATAAAATAATAATAACTAAAAGTGCTATTATTTATTAAATAAACTGAGCACAATACATACTTGTCATTCCATCAATTAAGCTCATATCTAATGTTATCATTTTTATGAGAACCTCAAAAGATTCCAATGGACGCTCTATTTTAAAATATATATCAAATGCAATGTTACAGTAAGACTTAATCTGGAGAAAAACAGGATCAAGCTCTGGAGACTCATCAGTAATATATTTTCTAGTGAATTAACATGAACTAGTTATAAATAAGTTCATAACATTTAATAAAAATATTTATTACACAATTTATTATTTAAAATAACAATATGCCTACAGTGTAATTACTACTGATATATTATAAAATAACATTTTTTTTTACATACTCTAGACGATCAGAAGATAATGATGCTAAGCCCAAATTAATATAAGCTGCTTGATACTGATACACAAATTTATTGGGTGAATCGTTTTCCAAATCGCAATACTTCAAAGTTTCCATAAATAAATTGATACATTCCACATAATTATTGGAATTACACTAAATAACAAAAAACAATTTTGATTATAAAATGTGTATCAAATAAGTCCAAAAACTATGTACTTACTCGACATATGTCTAAATATACACGTACAGCTGCATAAAACAAAGTTGAAGATAATTTATAGTAAATATTATCCCACAGAAGTGGATTAGAACTACGGTCACCTAACTTCGATAATCTCTTCTTGTAAGCATTTCCAGTCTTAAATTGTATACAATATTATATATATATATATGTACTGTACATTATTTTAACTGAAATTTAATCATTTAATTATGAAAACTAACCTTTAAATTGAAGATCTCTTTTTTTATAAAATCATTGATAGGAACTATATATTTTGTTGAATAATATGTGATGTATTTGTACAAATTTGCCAAGTTAAAATTTATCTGTTTAAAATTATCATCATCATTATTCTTTTTAAATATATCACTTCCCCATGCAAAAAAAAGCTTTGATTTTCTTGCAAAAAATTTCAACTTAAATGGACTTAAAGGAATGTTATTATTTATAGCCACTATAAAAATACAAAAATTTAAATAATTTATTGTGAATCACAACATAAAACATTATTACATTTTAAATTCTACTTTAACTTACTTAATATTTCTTCCGTATACATTTTAATGTATTCATTGTAAGCATAACCTAATTGATTATTTAAAATAATTTTATTATTAACATCTTCTTCCAATTTTAAAGCACGTGAGTAACAATTTTCTGCTGTGCTCAACATGTTTTCTTTTAAATTATTGATGGTTGTTGGTATTAAATTTAAATCTATAACATAAATATTAAATATATTCTTATAATATAATTTGACCAACTGTTGGAATATATAATTAATATTAGTATTCTATCATTGTAAACACATGTGTAATATTACATTTTACTATTAACTTTCAATCATGATATGACCAGGGCTATCCTTAAGATTTTATGAGGCCTAGGGAAAAATACTTGTAACATTTCTTAGCAATCATATCAAACTATAACCATATAAAGACATTAATAATTGTTATTACTAGGGCCAATAATTATATGCCCTAAAAATCTATAAAATATGCATGCAGTTATGCCTTAAAAATTACCAAAATATGCTCTATATTTTTATATATTTTATATATTATATTCTATATTTTTTAATTGAATGATTTTTTTTTTTATATATTAATATATTATTCAGTATTCTATAAAACAATTATTGCCAATGATTAACAAAAAAGTGTGGTATTATAAATCGTTTTTCACATATCTTCACCTCGCATATTTTACAAAACAATGTATTCCCATCCGAAGAAAATATATTTTTTTTCAAATTCAGAGATGTAACTATTGACACAACTAGTGTTAGAAGTTTTCACTTTCAGTATTTTAAAACAATCAATTTAATAACGCACCGCACGTGTAAAACCACGACTGACAACTACAATAGCCGATAGGTAAGATAAAATATAATGGCATACAAGCATATATTTGTTAACCCTAATGATTAGTGATTAAGATTAGATTTTTATAAATGAGTTGAATTACCCATAGGCAATAGTAAGGAATATATATATTGTATTATGAGTGAAACAAATTAATATTTTATGATTCCTGAGTCTTTAAGATCCTAAATATGCTGCAAAAATAAACAAAATACTATGAAATGCTCTTAAAATGCAAAAATGCCAAAATATGCAAAATAAAATTTTGTATACAGCATCGTTAGGTTATGAAACAAATTTTAGTATAAACTAGCTATTTTTTAGACTAACCAATAAAATTATGCAAATACATATAATTGTTGGCTTTAGTTATGACACAAATAGCTAGGTAGGTACCTAATTAGCAATTATAATTCAAAATTGGGGTTTTTTTTTCATAAAATATAATAATATAAATTGGTAAATAAAATTAAATAATTTTTACAATAGATTTAAATAACATGTTTCTTTTATTTATTCATCTATAATAATTCATAAATCGTTACTTATTGATATTTATACAAATTTGTTTTGATTTAATTAAATGAGAATGAAGAGGCAGAATCACACAAAATTCTGATTTTTGTAAAGTTATTTAAATAGTTATTACTTTTTCTTGATCAATTAAATACAATTAATCCTGTGTAAATAAAATAACTAACTCTTTAATATACTTAAATAAAAATACAATAAAAACCTATTTTATTAATTTCATTCACCAACAATTAATTTTTCTAACTTTTATTTTTGTAAGCTTTTCAATTATATTGTTATAGTTTACATTTTCAAAAAATTAATTATTAAAATAATTGTTAGATCAAAAAGTCGATTTTACATATTTTTGTTATCAAGTAATTTTTTTTTTTTTAATTTCCATTTTGTTTTTATGTTTATTGTGATGTTTTTTAATTATTTTAAGTTCTTTTTTTTCTGCACTACTTTCTATTTTTTGATATTTACTATGTAATCAACCAATTTATATTTTAATATCATTGTATTAACCAGATTTGAGCACTAAAAAAATAAATACTTTTTCTGCTAATAAAATCGGTTTACCTACTATTAGATTAATGAAAATTACATTTTATTAACAATGTTTTTCTTTTAAATATTGTCGTTTTTAATCTGAAATTTTAAAATATTATTTTGATTTTAATTATAATAATTTAACATATTGTATTTAATTAATTTCTAAAAAGTAACAGTATTAAACAATTACTAATAAGTTATTAGAAATAACAAACAAAAAAAGTCAGTCGGGGTGGTCACTATCAGGTTATCATGTGGTATAAAATACAAGACTTTTCAGTAACAAAATCTCGAAAATTGTTTTTTTTTTTTTTAATTATTATTCTATTTTAAGTGGTCAATAGACTAGTTTCATTTAAGTCGAAGGAGAATTTGAGGCAGCGCGATAGAGATCATAATTTAATAAACGGGTTTGTATTTTGAGAGGAAGCTTTTGAAGTGGCTTTTTACAAATTAATTAACTGTTTGAATTTTTAGATCATTGTGGAAGGCTGTGTTTGTTATAAACATAAAACATCAATGATATATTAATATTTATTAATCATATAAAATAGTATGAAAATAATAACATTTTTAAAACAAATTTTACTATTTTTATCACAAACCCCAGAGTCCCTAAAATAAGAAAAATGAGTGAGCGCTACTCGCTCTCTTCTCTCTCTAAGGATGGCCCTGAAAAATTTATTATATATTGAGATGTAACTTTAGAAGTTACATGAATGTAGGTTATGAGTATATGACTTCAAGGATGATATTTAAATAAAGTCTTTTGATGTTAGTAAAGATACTTTCTCTTAACATAATATCATGTATATAGTACTTATTGCAATCCACTGGTATGTTACTTATACATTAAAATTGCATTGTACAAAAAAAAATAAATAAAATAAAATTGTGTTATTTAATTAAATTAAATTCTTAAATCCTAAATTTACACAAATTTAAATTTCAACACTAATAGCAAACACAAAAAACAATATTAATTGATTACCTTGGTTAGTGTGATCAAAATTATTAATCAATGCTGTTCTTAGTTCAAAATCACATATTTCATTGGTTTCAAGCTCACTTTTGTATTGTTCTAATTTATCCCAATGTTTAAGAATAAACAAACAACAATTGCCACACAGGTTTAATATAGGCCCGAATAAATGGTTAGCAGTGTTAGCAACACATAAATGACATTCAAGTGACCGGCGGAAACATTTTAATGCTATTCCAAAACTAAAAAAAAAAAAATGTATTTAGCATTTAACAATTTAAAATTTTTTTTCACTCTCCATACTTTTTAGATGCAAGACAATTTTTGCCTAAATTAAAATATACATCAGATGCCTTTTGATAAAAAATTAACCTAAGGTGATTTTCCCAATTATAGTCTTCAGCATTGGGTAAATTATGCCAACTTGAAACATCATTCTTTCCAAGTATTTCAGATTCGAGATATTGCATAAGTTTAATATTATTCTCGAACAATGATGCTCTTTCCGCCTTTATCAAAATTCAAAATAAATTGTAAAATTGTTTATAAGTCAATTGTTTGTTACATACCGTAATATTTTTATCATTCTTGAAATATTGTAAGTAACTCAAACTGCTACCAACATAATACAATGCCTTATAATAACATTCTTCTATAGTTTTCACTAAATGTTTCGACATGGAATACTTTGGTTCTAAAATAATATATGGTATTGTATAAAAAATCATTAATTTTTTTCAAACAGATAAAAATAAAATTAAAAACAATCACTTTGAGATTTTATTTCTTTCATGTTGGATAAACATAAATTTTGTATGTCAATAGAATAGATCCCATAATCAAATTGAGTTGATGAAATAGCAGAATCATCAAAGTAATTATCCTTATCTACTTCAGCTAAATCTATTAAAGTGGTCGATGGATTATTATAAATTGAAATGTATATATCAGACAACATACAATAGATAGACATAACAATCTGAAAGTTAGGAAATATTCTTTGTGATTAAAATTATAACATACACTATGAATCATTAGTAATTACTTCAGGATATTTAATTTTATCTAATAATTGTAGACAATTGTTTAGTAAAAGTTGAATGGTAATTGGATTACACAATTTTTCATCTTTTGGGTAATATTTTAATTTACAAGCAACACGATATAACAACATAACTACTGGAATTGTAAAAGGATTTGAGCTATCAATTAATGATCCGGAACATAATGTTGTCAAATCATAAAGTTTAACTGCATAGTCATTTTTTCCTGTAATTTAATTAGTAAAATTCATAATAAACTCTAGTTTTATATAACACTTAAGTAATGAATTTATACCTTTAAATAACCAGTACGTATGTCCAACACTATTAGCATTTGATTTTAAAAACGAAAATGTATTTTGCATAATATTACTAATATCATTTGGCGAAAATGTTGAGCCATTCAAATATGGTATATCGTCAGTTTTCACCAACTCATACTTTTGAACAATACCATTTTTATGATAGCAAAATTCGATTTCAGGAATATCACACATTAAATTATCTAGCCAATAATCAATCCCAGTTAACATACTTAAAGATTTAGACATGTCTCTAAAATGTATAAAATAATATTAGATTTAACTCACATGATTAAAATCATAAAATGTATAAGTAAATAAACAATAAACCTCAATCTTGTGCTTAAAGATGAATTATTGCTACTTCTGAAAATTGGTAAATCCGAACCTATTAACATTTGCAAGCCTTCAAAATTCCATGAAACATTTTGGTTAAATAATCTTTTAAATTGACAATCTGGAAACACTTCTTCTGGTGTAAGTTCTTGTAAAGGAAAAGCTAACTGATCATAATTTAAACATAAACTATTAAGTATACTAAACTATGCTAATAATGTTTTAAAGTAAAACTTACTGAAGAATTTTCATTACAAAAACTTTTTATTTGGTTACAATGGAAATCTGATCCAATGGTATGGTGCAAAAATTTTGATTCTAAATTTTTATTTTGAATTTTTCTAAAATGGTTATTTTTATAAGTGATACATTCCACCTATTATTTTTGAACAAATACAAAATATTAAAATCAACGAAACATTATTAATAAATTAAGATTAAAAACTTTTGATATCTAATTAAACTATTATTATGAACTCTGATATTTTAGATTATTTTGAGTTCAAAGGAATCAGTTAATTGCAAATACACCATAAATAATCAATATTCTATTCTTTAATTTATATATATTATATATATAACCTAAGCCTAGTTGATTGTTTTTATTAGAAAAACATAATATTTGAAGCAACCTAACATAATTTAGAAAAAAAGATTGAATCATTGATATTATGGTGCCTACATATTTAATATTTATTTTATACAACTAAAAAAATATATTATTTTGTTACATTATATTTTTTAAATACTATAAAAAATTCACAAAATCTTAATTAATATTAAAGTCCGCACTAAAATTTTAAATATGTATTTCTGTATATTTGATATAAAAGAATAAACCTGATTACAAATTTCTTTAACCTTTAACCCATAGTATAATAGTTACAAATTTATAAGGATACTAAATTAATGATAGATATTGAATAAAAATTGAATATTTGATAAAATATTGAATTCAAACTAGATTACATTTTGATTGTTTTAGTAGAAATGCTCAACAAATTTTAAATCCCTTTATACATGACAACCATTGAGTGTAAAAATGCATTGTTCATATGTTAAACAATTAAATAGGAAAAACAAATTCAACTAAGAAACATTTGTAATTTATTACAAAGTAAATGCCAATAAGCAATAAAAAAATAATGATAATAACTGTAGAACTTGAAGTTATGTGTACAGTAAGTCTTTCGTTTAACGTCGCCTCATTTAGCGTTGTTTCGCTATTGTATCGTAAAAGTTTAAGTCCTTATGTTTCGTTTAACACTGCAACGGTTTCAGTATAACGTCGTTTGTAATACATGTATTCATCAAATTATTGTTATATTTATATAAATTTCATATAAAAGTATGTAATTTAAAAAGGTTTCACTTAACGTTTTTTTCGGTTAACGTTGTGTTTTCCAGGAACCTAACCTCGACGTTAAACAAGGACTTACTGTATTTGCATTTTTTTTTTTTTTTATCTTTGTTTAAATAGTATTCATGTAAAACATTTGACTTGATAAGTTGGAGTACAAAATTTTATTTTGCATATCGGGAGTATTTTTAATTATTATACACATTATAATGAAAAAAAAAATGTAATATTAAGCTATACAATTAGGTTCCTAAACTATTTATTACATGTAAATAAAGTATTTTAAATTTATTAATAAAACTCTCCATTATCAGCAAAAAGTTTGCTATAAGTACCATAACGATAATGTTAATAATAAGATACTAATATAAAAACCTATCTAGTAACAAGTATACCTTAAGTATGCCTTAATGTCTTCAACTCTTCAATAAATATGGAGTCAAATTTTTCTTAATTAAAAAACATCCTTGCCGAAAATCAATGTGCATTTATATTTGTAAATTTAAATGTTTTTAGTATCAAAATATCAATCATAACTTTCTATGTAACACATAAAAAATATTATAAAAATAGACTTTTTTTAATTAATTTTTATTTAGATAAAAAAAGATACTCAAAATACAATAATTCAATAAAATGAGGAGTTACATAAGTTTAATGTAAGTTAAATTATTTCATTATATAGTGTATTTTTAATTAATACATTTTTAAGTATTTAAATTTAATGCATGAGTATTTTTTTTTTATCTGCAAATTTTAACAAAATAAGTACAGATACATATTTTGTATGTTTTAGTACATAAACATAACAAGAATAAGTTCCTTATTAATTATTTCATGACATAACTTTATCTTATTAATCATATGTTTATTGTTTTGTTACTATGCAGCACATAAAAATTATACCATATAAATATTTATAATTAAGATAATATAATAATTATAAATTCAAATGACAAATATGATCATAAAAAAAGAACCTCACCTATGATAATCAACCTATTCTAAATATGTCTAAGCTTACCTTAATATCAGAAGATTTTACAATATTGTCGTCAAAGAATTTCTTTAACCAGGCCCATTTTTTAAATGTATCTTGTATCAAATATTTCTCAACATCAAATTCATCTAATAAAAATGTCTCATCGATTTTATGTACCATGATGCTAACCTTTAAAATAATTCAAATAATTAAATTTTAAAGACAATACCATGGAATGAAAATGTTTTATTTATTAAAATAGTTAAATTATACTTAAATATTCAATTTAGATTCATCCATTTGTACTTAGAAAAAAATGTTTTTAAATGTATTAATAAAATAATATAGCATAGTAAAATATAAAATGTGTATACATATATATATATATATGTTATGTATGTATTTTTATTTCATACACTTGATAGAAATATTTAATAATAACAATATTTACTTACAGATTTGTTATTGTATGGTATCTTACACAATTTTTTAATATTTTCAGCATCTGATACAATATCCACTTTGCCAATGCATTCAGGAATTAAATTAGCTATTTTAAAACTAAACAACATAAAGACAATATGAATTGAAGGTTTTGATATTTGTAAAAATTAATATTCCCTTGGTATTTATCTTACCTAGAAAAACAATGAAAATCACTAGATTTCAACCACACGCCACATGATTCAGCATCGATGCTATAAAGATTTTGTGGTTTTAAATTTAGATTAGTATTAACCTTATGGCGAATAAAATTGGGTGTTTGAACTGTCGAAATCCTAACAACAGCTTTTGATTTCAATTGAACACGTTTATCATTTAATGTGCTGGGCTGGTTATTTTGATTGTCCTAAAAATAAAATATGTAAATCACACTTAAATAACTGAAAAATAAATCTTTATGAGTTTTACTTAAAACAATATATATATATATATAAACGACAATGACATTAAATATGTATTTATGCCGGTTGTATGACACAAGTATAGTATATAAGTAAAGTTATTAATTATTATAAAACACACTATTAAAACATGAACACTGTATTCGTTTAATAATGGCTAGTCTTATCGAAAACGTAGTAAATTGTTTTAACTCACCATAATTATCGAAGTTTAGAACTCTAAATGGATAAGCATACAATTTTGTACGTAAATAGTTGAGCAATGGTTTGTATCCACTAATGACTGATTTTTGGTAGTCTCGTCTTACACCACTGGAATAATAATATAACAACCACGCTTATGCGATAAACGAATGCCTAAATACACCAAACTACGATCAGACAAGATACGAAGATGACGGACAAAAAACGCAACACCACATGGTTTAAGACCTCGCACTGTATGCCGTAGTAGTATAACACTGCGTGTATATTATACAATATAGGTAAGTACTTAATGTTATAATTTTTAATAAATTAATATTATTTTATCATTATAGAAGTAGACAGCAGTGAAATACTCGTTTTGTTAAACCGCGTCAGGCCGCATATTCACAAAATTTTCGACAATCACAAAATGTATACAAACCGTCGATTGACGATTACGACTTGTCACCCCTTATCAGTTTAACTCGCGGTTATAATAATATAGTAGAATTGTAGGTAACCGTGGTTTCACTTACATCAATTACATAGTTAACAACACCATTTTTATCATCAGCTGTACTCATTACCTCCCCACCATGGGCCACCATCACGTATTCAGATTTTTTATGAAAAGCCGTAGCAAGGTCATAGTTGTTCAACATATTTCCGCCCTTGTAAATTTTTAATCTTTCCCACACATCTTTTTTACAAATAGGGGGCTTGATACGTAGATACAGATGTTTAAATATTAATCCATTTTTTTTTTAAATTATTATTTTTATTTAAATGTGACAACAAACAAATATTTTTCTTTTTTAATATTAAGTATTAAAAAAGTCAGAACTATTTAAAAAATGTAAAAAAAAAAGGTTTTTGTGTCTATAATATCTGTGTAATTTTTTTATATGAGATTCGTTTAGAATTTTATTCTGCATATTAGTTTATTTGCAAAATGTGTAACATCAAACAAAAAATTCAATCTGTAAAAAATGCACCTACAACTGACTGGTCAATTAATATGTCAGTTGTCAACAAATAGTTATCGGTGAGTATAGTAAAATATTAAAATTTAAACTATAAGTACTAGAGAAACCTTGTTATATATTTTCAATCCTTATTAGCCTTAAAAAATATATACTTCTTAAATTGCAGTTATAAAATTTTATGAGATACTAGTATTAAATATTTCATGTATTTTTACTTTCGAAATTTTTTTATCGATATTATTAGTCAAAAAATTGAAAATTCCTACAGGCTTAAAAAAAGTCAAAATATTTTAAACGTATACCATGTATAAAAAAGTGTAATATAAAAATATCTGCTGATAATTTCAAGTATTTTTGAAATCGTGGATGAATAAAAAGATAAAAATGTCAAAAAAAAAAGAAAAGTTTTGTCAAATAAAAAGTCTAAACTAAAATGGTTGAATTTTAGTAAAAAAGCTCATGAGATTATGGCAATGCAGATAAATTAGATATTCTAAAAGATATAAGGTTATAAGATAATAATTAAGTCTTTTATGGAATATTATATTAATTTATATAGGTAATAATAATGATTATCATTATTGTACTAAAAAATAATTAGTATTGTTATTCCAAAGCGTTTTATTACACGGTTGTATATTATGCCGGGTAATTGGGACACATTTTACCTAGGTACCTGTAAAAAATAATATTTGTTTACCTTTTAGTTTTTACTATCCGGGGATTGGCCTACCAACTAAAACTATATTTTTAAAAAGATTCGAAGGATGGACCATGAATTATAATACAGGAATATACGAGTATATAAGTATTTAACGTTTACTAACTATTTTTTTCTAATACATAGAAATACAATTTTTTGAAATAATGCCTTACAGATTTTACAAATTTAATATGAAATAAAGTACAAAAAATCAGTCAAATAATTATAAATATTTTATTTTAATATATAAAATTACAATTATTTTTTTAAACAATATGACATAGATTTTTCAAATTAAAATCTCGTTTTATCTCCTTTGTGTTTTTTAATTTCATTAAGAATACAATTTTTTTGAATTAAAGTTCATTTTCTGATTTTTATAGTTTTTACGCTTCTAATTTTAATATAAACTTCCTTAAATATTATTAATGTTCAATGAAAAGACACTATGGATAAATTAAATTTTTTAGAAAATTGCGTAATAAATCCATAAATCTGATAAATCGATTGGAATATTTAAAACAAGTCGGTTCAAAATATTATAGCATGCAATTAAATTATAATTAATAAAATACAAATACAACAAATAAACATGACAAATTTAATTTAAATTAAATTAAATCAACAAAATTAAACATTTTTAATCACGCCTATTAATACTAAACAGACAGTCTTAAGCCTGTAAAAGTGAGAAGGAAAATGTTTTTTGAGTTTTTGAGACTTTTGCAATTTTGCTAAAGTTTATGTTCGCAAACGAGTTCTACGTATAGGGTCATTCAGCTCAGGTATTATAAATTCGTGTGCTCAATTGAGTTATGCATTTGTACGCAAACGAGTCGCAAAAAAGGGGGTAATTGTACGCAAACGGGTATCACCCATTCAGTGTGGATACAAGGGGTGGCTATAGGAGCAATGCTCGCTCTATAAAATGTCACGAAAAATAAAATAAATTATTATATTAATATGTTAAATAATGAAAAAATTATATTTTTTTAGGTATTAGAATTATTTTTAGATTATTTTTTCCGAAGAAAGAACACTACGCGTTAGTTTAAAAAAGGTTCTTAACTCAGTTTAAACCTTGAATGCCGTGTTTATTATAATAGCTTTACGTATAACTGCGTACTTTCTATTTCGCCCGGGCAAAAGCGAGAGCAGCTCCGTCCTCATCTACCACCCTATATTGATTAGGAGGTGACGAACTCTTGTTTTTCATTCCACACAATTTGCTACAATCAATAACTAGTACAGCCACTAGTAACAAGTAGTGAGTTAAAATGACTGTATAATACTATGTATATATTGTAGTGTATTTTATTACAGTTTTACATGGATATAAAACAACTGAATAAAATAAAATAAAAACTATACCTTAATTTAAACTCAACATTTTTGGCCAAATGTAAACTCCTATACGAATAACGTTTTACCTAAATCATCATTAAAATAAATATAAGCTCCTGCATCAATAACCTTTTTATATTTTTACTTGAAAATCAAAGATACTGTAATCTCCTATATGGACATGTTTACCGGAAAAAATAGGGTGATATAATTTTAATTTAAGATGATAATTTACACATGATATATAAAATAATTTAACATACCTTTAGAAGTTAAGAAAAATAATTTAATACCTAACTAGTACATTATAATTATCTCGTTTACTCATTACTAGGGCACGGAAGTTGTAGGAATTGTATATTGTTATGTATGCATTCAATTTATAGCAGACCAAGTTATAAATCAGAACTATACAATGGAAAGTTTAAAAATTAAAAATGTATATTTTGTCAATCTTACCTAAAAAAGTTCATATTTTATTGATTTTTTACACATAATATAATATTCATATTCCATATTTTTTCTTTCTTTACTTATATATTTGTACATTTCAATTAATATTGAATACAAAACTCAAAATTATCAACAAAGGTATTTATCGTAATTTCAAAAATACTGAAAAAATATTTTTTAATTATATTTTCAGCTCAATAAAATGTCAAAATTCCAACCAGTTATAATTTTTTTTTCAGTTATAAACAGTTTTTATGTGTATTATTATTTTAATAATTTATTAACAACATCTGATGTATTTTTTTCTCTTGGAATTTAGAATAATTATTTTGCACATTTTACATCATTATTAATGCATATTTTGTAATTTTTTTGTGCATATTTTGCCTTTTTTAGCTTCTACAATTTCCGAGCCCTACCCATTATCATGGGCGTCCTCAGGGGGTAGCAAGACGCACTTACCACCCCTCCCCTAGAATTTTAAATTTATTACCTAATTATAATAATTTACTGTAATGATGACGAAACATAATGTACTATAAATAAAATCTGTATAAAATCTTGATTTATTTTTTTAAATTAATTTTACTCTTCATCTCACCCCTCTAGAAAAATGTTTCGGGACACCCATACTTATTATGACGAATTTGTTAAAACAATTCGATGTATTTGTCACTAACTGACGGACGACACCATAACGGTATTTAATTACAGTAGAAGCCGCTTATTAGAAACACGGATAATTGATACAATCGTGTTATTGAAACAAAATGTCTCGGGACGGATCGGCCGTATATTAGAACATTGAAAATAAATCGGATTATTGAAACATCACATCGGTTATTTGAAACAATTGGGAGAAGGTCAGTTGACATATACACCGATTATCTAGCGATAACCAATGTACTTCAATTTTATCTTTGCTGTCGTTACGTTTATTTTTACTGTAATTTATCGCGAGAATGCTCTTTCTGTATGTACTGGTCGTACCGTTTGTAGTTTAGCTTCAGCGTGCGTATGTAAAGATTATTAGTGTTTCCTTTTTCTAAAAATCTAAAAATGTCTAAACGCTAAGATTTTAGCCAATTTTCATGCGACCATTCGTGGTTTGAAACTCATTTGACCGATTTGCTAGCCCAATACACACGCTCTGATATTTTCAATGCGGACGAGACTGGGCTTTATTTTGGAGCTCTACCTGAACACAAATACGCACTCAAAATAAGTGACAAAGCTAAAGGGGCAATATTACTCGTATGAAAATATGGTCATGGAGTTACTCGACGTAAAAAAACAAATTACGAATGATAAATATTTTACATAATATCGTAAAATATACACAATTGTGCATACTTTTTTTAAATTATACAATATAGGTACATACATACATACATATTTTTTTCGCGTACCTATTATTCATTTTTTTTTTTCAATCGCTTATTAGAAACAATCGGTTAATTGACACAATTCACCTTGGTCCCAAAGTGTTTCTAATAAGCGGCTTTTACTGTACATATATATTTTTACACAGATATAATATCGTTGTTATTAATGTTATTTATCGTCGTCGGCTGTCGAGATGTTGATCGGCATCAATAACGATTGTTGTCGATCAGTAATAATCTATTATGAGATGTTAAAATAATATTTTCGTATGACATGATACAAATCAATCAATAATCAATTTAATAAATTCTAACTTTAGCCATTTATGTTGGTATTAAAAATAAATAGTTATTTTACACATTTATAAACGATTTAAGAAATTTCAGGGGTGGAGGACCCCTTCCGCCCTCACAGATATGGCCTTGATGTATATTACAATACGTAGGACGTAGGTACAATGGCGTAATTGAGAATAATAATAGGGGGTGAATGCCTCATTCATAGCTAAATAAAT